GCGTACTGTAACTTTCTGCAATTAATATTTACTCCAAACGATAAAAGTCTTGTTTGGTAGAAAAAAGCGAATAACCCTAAATCGTAATATGCGTATTCAACAGTTGAAAAGAAAAATGTTGCAACTTACAATATAGCCTGAACGTTAGAGAGAAAATAAAAATACTTGGGAGACAGCATGACTCGTTGATTTGCAGTAAAAGCAGATCGACGTGAAGCTGGTGGGGTGTGGGTGGGATGAATATACGAGACTGAACTGCTGCAGTGCAGTGTATCGTATGAATATGTGCGTGAAAATAAAACGCGTGGATGAGGCGATGGCCGCGCGGGTACGGAAAAAGCGAGACCAGTGCGATTGCACATTAGCTAATAACGCCTTTTCGAGGGGGTGGGGGGCTATGGTGCGTTTACCTTGCGCGATCGAGAAAGTCAAGTAGGCTGGCGCGCCAGGACGATTTTACTCGATCGCCTCTTGGCCATTGAGTCGTGGAGTCGTTAAAAACCACGGAACGAGAGCCTTCCTTCGACTCTTGTTGTACAGGTATAGGTATATATACCTGATACACCTTACACTGCTTTTTGTTTTTGTTTTATTTTTGCACGCAACTCGCACTACTCCTACGATACATTTATTACGTTTTTCTACACGAAGGTGAGCTCCCGGTGGCTCCATGCACTACGCTCTATCGTTGATATTGCGTATACTCCATATGATTCAACAGACCCAAAAGTAAACTTGTAGTATATAATTACAATAATAATAATAATAATAACAATAGTAACACTTCACAATAATACCAAGCATCCCAGTGTAACGTATCGTCAGTGCCTATAGTCCTCAGTTTTGAAATAATGTTATGAAAAAATAACAAGAAATGCCAAAACTACGATCTCACGGGTACAACGAACGAAAAATTTTTATTTCTCCTCTTGACTATTGATTACTTTTTTTGAAGATATCATATCTGAACGACGGCTCCCAGTATTCAGATACACGGGTAGGTATCCTTTTTTTTCATTCATGTCAGTATAGATAAAAAAAAAAAAAAAAAAAAAAAACACGTGACTTTATCCTTCACTTTCAGACGATCAGCCTTGGTTGGTAAGAATATTTGTATATCTACTCTCGTTGAGCAATCAATTTTATATCCCACAATAGCTACATTTCAATATACCTATACATATACGTGTACGCGAATATTTAGTATTACAATTTATTTTTATTTCTTTGGCATTGAATTTATCTTTTCTCAATGATGCTACGTCTCTTGTCTCATACGATTTTTACAGACGTTTTACCTATACATTCATATAATTATTATTCCAGCATATATGTATTTCATAAATCACATTATTCATAAATACTACGAAAAATTACAAAAGCACTATTGCTGATGGCTGTAAAGTTTTTTATCAATATTGTCTCGATTGCGCGTTCCCAAGATTTTATTGTCCTTTACCATGGGAATTAAAAAAGAATCAGGAAAATGGGTATGCTTACAATATAATAACTTATACCGGCTGTCAAATGGACCTTGTGCAATAAGAAGAAACCTAAGAAATGCCAGAACTGTGAGAGATTCATTTATCTTTTTATTTACTCTGGAGAAAAGGTCAAGAGCGCAGTCGAAAATAAAAAATGACTGCACAGCAATCCGGAACCACTGTGGACGATCAATTAATTATTAGTATTTTTCATCATCACCGTAACGACGTAGGTATTTGTTTTATTAATTTCTTAATCCTGAAGCGGAGAAAGTGAATGTCCAACTTTTACCTTTGCCGCCGGTCGTTTCCCCCCCCCCTTGTACTTGTCATGTATGAAAAAAAAAAAAAAAAAAAAAAAAAAAAAAAAAAAAAAGATGTACAAATCTTGTGCTCGTAAAGTCCGACGATTCGCAAGGTGTACGACGTGAGTTGATCTCCGATAGAGATGGAGTTTCAAGTAAATAATAATAAAAGAGGGCCATGAACCTTTCGCGTACAGACCGGATCTCCGTATCCTCGACCGCTGCCCCGGGCGAGCAGCCATCGGACCTCCTCGAGAGAGCCAGCGGAGATGATGTATAGGGACACTCTGACATCGATGGCAACTGGAGTGTCAAGAGAATAGGCCATGCACCTGTCCCCCGCTGTTACTTAATTAGGTACACGCACTATGAAGCGAGAGGGGGAACAACGGAATGGAGTGGTTGAGGTTGAGCCCACTCTTACTCCCCAATTCCCTTTTCATTCTACTTTGTGTATTACATACGAGAGATATAAGGTACACCTATAATCTCTGCTTCTTGTTCTTCATCAAAAGTGGGTCGTAAGTTTAGCACCTGCCTGTCGGCACCGAGAATATCGCTCGCTCGCTCGGTTTGCGATAAACATATAGACATAATCCCTTTTCCAGTCTTGGTGTAACACGATGTAGTACAGGTAGCGATAAAGCTTGGATAAAGAATCCATTGTCTCGATGACCTGCACGATCCGAGACGGTGCATTTTGATCTCAAAAAATTCGATCGCAATCCGCAGCGGAATCTGGAACGTTAAGACGTTAAATTATCTCATCGGTCGTACATGCATTGTGATGGACTGCCAGTTATACAAACAACATATGCTTGATTAGCAGACGCGCGACACAGTTTGCTACCCATTTTTCATATACTTGAGTACGTTGTTTTTCCATATCTGCTTCTTCTTCTTCTTCTTCTTTTTCTTCTTGACCTCCGATCTCTGTTTCCGTCCGGGAAGTGTATATATACTTAGGTAGAATATTATTACTTATCTCTAGGCCCCAGTAGAAATGTCACGCATCGGGCAGACGCGAAATTGGCGCGTGGAAGGAAAAAAGAGGGGGCAAACAACAGATGACGCGGAGAGCGGCTGAAACGAGGTATCAAGAGCGTGCGTCGCTTTTTTTTTTTAGGTATTTGGGACATGTAAGCACCGTTACTCGGTTTTATCTTGAAATATGTGGGGGATAGGTACGTAGGTATATATATCATTATATGTATACTCGTGTATACCCTATACCTATATAATGTAGTCAAGTTAAAAAACAAAGTGCAAAAGCAGACAAGATTTTGGCGTCTGCCAGTAGTAATACTTAGTAGTGGATTATTTATTCATAACTGAATAACTGAAAACTGGCGTTCCATTCGCACGGTAAGGTGATGGATGTATGTACATTATTTTATTATAACGTGCATTATAATAAATCACACTCGATCTGACAGAAGTAGAAATTTAACCGATTTTACTTGTGTGGACCTTACGTGGTACTTCTTACTGAATTACTGAACATCTGTGTACAAAAGTAGATGAAATCGTTGCCGACGAGCCGACTTTGAAAAAAAAAAAACGTGTATATGATTTCATCCTTGATGCGGCACAAGTAACTTTGAGCATGGGAGCGAAAGCTGTCGCCAACGCAATGATACCGATCTAGAAGATGTCGAGAGAGAAACCGCGTAAAGAAGTTTCTCCGGCGTAGGCGTAGCACAAACTTTTTGCACGAGGCGTTGCGAGTTTCGTAATGCACGCATTGGTACGAAAAGGAGCCACCACACACTCGTCGTTTTCGGAGGCATAGAAATCGGTATTGGATAATCAGCTCTCTCACTCTCTCTCGATCATTGAAATTCGCCTCAGCAGAGTCACGGTTGCACTTGCAAACATCAACCTCTGTATACTTGAGTGTCGTGAACGCATCATTTCGATGTTCATACATGTTGTTATAATAATAATAATAATAATAATAATAATAATAATAATATAGACGATGGTTTTTAGATGCGTCAATTTGCCAAATTTTTTGTCCACGTCTATCTATTATACCTACATGTGGCACGATTTACGATCTTACGATGTGCTTGTATGTAGCGATACTGCATGAACCTATTGTCACATTCCATGTGCGTATAATACCATGCATGTATACACACGCACACACTAACACATGTGAATATCTGCACGGCGCTTTGATCCATATTATTATTATTATGGGTCGTCGTCAATGCGGGGATAGTAACGACACATCATCACTCCTACAGCGAAGATCTGATGGACGATCCGTGTTACATCGTATCTCAGTTGTTATGCTAATAACGATTGGAGGATCTCTTAATGGGCCACGTGAGATACCGTTACGTTGGCGAACGTCCAGCCGTAGGTAGCGTGTATATGTATATATCTATATACATAAACAAGCGTACAATTCGCCAACGTACGTATACAGGTATACATATATGTACCTACCTAGTAAATTTCTGATAAGTTATAGAAGTGGTGGTAGAAGTGGTGTCCTTTGAATTTGCCCGATCGATGTATTATGCCAAATAATGGGCGAATGTATAGGTTATCGATTGATTTTGTCAGATATTTTTTTTTTTACTCTATATCGTACATAATTAGCAGTCAATTAACGACGTACTGCCTAATACCACTGTACATATTATACAAGTTGACAAAAAAAAAAAAAAAAAAAAAAAAAAAAAAAAAAAAAAAAAAAAAAAAAGTGAAAAATCAGTATTAAATAACAATCAATTGCCATTAATAAAAAAAAAAATTTACACACATATGTATACGTATAAAACAAGTGCAACACCTTTGCAGAGAAACCCCCGTCCTTAATAATTTATGATTAATAACGATGAAAGCCAAAGAGATGACAGTTGAATGCGCCGATCAGTTGCCGTGTAAGTATATCTTCGCAAGGGCATGTTTAACATCTCGAGACGCGAGACGTGATTTATAACGATATCGACCACAAACCTTTTTATATAGGTTCACCTTTTTTTACGAGTCGTCGTTTAATAGCTTTTTGTTTAGCATTTATCGAGACGCTCTTATACCTACTAAGTGAAAAAATATTCCATCAACTTGTTGCTTCCAGTGGGTACTTAGGGAAAAAAAAAAAAAAAAAAAAAAATCCACAGAGACCTCGATGTGTACTTTGTGTGAAAGGGCTACTACGTATGTATATTCATGTTTCGATGTGTACCATATACAGCAAAGGACAATGGGGTCGAGGCATTGGTGGAGTTTGGCAGGAGTAGCAGGCTGTTTGACGAGTCGGCGGACGAGCTCAACGACGCCGAGATCTTCCGGGCGGTTGTCAACTCGATCCACGAGTGGGAGCTGAAGAGACAGCAGCAGCAGCACCGGATCAGCCTACACCAGCGGCACAAGCGCGAAGTCTCGCGCGTCTGTTACGAGGATGTCGGCTGTTTCGAGGACACGGGGCCCTTCTCCTATCTCGAGATGCTGCCCTCCCCGCCTAAGGAGGTCGGCACGAGGTGAGCATCATCATTAACAATACAATAATTGTACTTTCGATGATTCGGCAACTAATGGGGTTATCGGGGTTGCAGGTTTTTCGTGTACGGCAGTAGGAAGGCGCGATCGGTGTCGATGACCGTGCCGGCCGAGAGCATCAGCGACAAGGCAAGCAGTGCCATAGACCCCGAGCTGCCCACCAAAGTCATTGTGCACGGCTTCGGCTCGAGTTGCGATCACGTCTGGGTCTACGAGATGCGCTCCGTTCTCGCGGCCGTCATCGACTGCAACATTGGCAAGTTCATTACCTTATTGCTTCTCTACGCAATCATACCTATATATATTTTTACCTAACACCAACAAATCACACATCTCTTTTTTATCATACCGCCTCTCTCTTTCTTCGCATCGGACGCCTGTACACAGATATATATATATAAGTACATCTCTTAAAATTTCGGGGAAATTCAATTAACGAGGCCCAAAGAGGTAATGAAAGTTAAAACGAAACCCACACACACATTGTGAGGAATGCGCGTATACGTATAAACACGTATAAATATACATATATACATACATATACCTACACGCTCTGACTTTTAGACTTTCTAGACGGTCAAACAAAAAGTAAGTATGTCAACTCTGAACGCGTTTCATACGTATATATATATATATATATATATATATATATATACATACGTATATAGGTACATAAATATAGATAGTACGCGCGCTCTCTCATGATGCTGCTATACCTGCATATGCATGTATGTCTTTTGGTGGCGGTTTTGGTATATATAACTCTCCCTATACATTTACACGTACAATGTATAAAAATATACCAGGTACTCGCGGTGAACTATTTCATGGCATCGTGTTATTCGTGCTGCTGATTTCGCTCTTCCTTGAATTTTGATATGCTTTAATTCAGTTGGACCCCAACTCACTATACATGCCACAAAAACACAATTCACAGCCAATTAAGTTCAGTATAGGCCCGCACACGCACGCTCACGCGTAGAAATATGCATTTACGACCACAACACTGCGAAAAGAAAATGGTTACGAATCGTTCCGACATTTGAATAAATTACTCGTTAGAGGTGCCGGCGTAATAACAGTAAACCATGCTGAAGTGCTCGCTTCCTGCCGTAATCTATTTTTTTTTTTTTTTTTTCCTCTATACTTGAAATACGCAAATCATCTACGGGGTAAACTGAAATTGTTCACGTATGCCTGTCTCCATTCTGTCATTGTATATAAAAAGTTAGACCTTGGGGTTTTGCATTGACCGTTCAACGCGTAAAACTTGCGCAAGTAATTAAATTAAATATCTTGGGATTTAAACACACCGATAGTGCAATGATTTAAATCAAGGTTGAGACGAATTAACGTAAAATCTGTCGAAATGCCGAAATACCCATCACATGGCAAATTGCTTTCACCTTCGATGGTAGAGGTACACATACGAGAGTGTGTGTGTGTGTGTGTGTTTGTTTTTTCCATGATAAAAAAAGACGAGGGACATAAATATGATGTATACAATATTATTGCATACAAATACTTATACAATAGAAACTTGTGATGTATAGCAGTTTTTATTTGTATTTGTCATTGTTTTGCATTTATTCTGGTAAAATTAATGAGAATGATAATATTATAGTTTGCGTGGATTGGGGCCCAGGAAGCGCCGTGCCAAACTACGTGCGAGCAGCGGCCAACACGCGGCTCGTCGGACGCCAGCTGGCCAAGCTCGTGCGCAGCCTCAACGTGCCCCTCGACAAGCTCCACATGATCGGCTTCAGCCTCGGAGCCCACGTGGCTGGCTTTGCAGGAGCCGAGCTAGGCAACGTTTCCCGGATCACTGGTGAGTTGACTGTTCCGAGGGGCTGGTGTGTGAATGACGAATTTTTTTTTCTTCCACTTTTGGTGGCTCATTTGTACCTCGATTAGCAGCCATACGATACATGAAATTCCACACCGATGCGACATTGTGACGTGGGCCATTGAACGAGTGCAATCTCGATCGAGTTTTTTTATACCGCGTATAAAATTTGCAAACTTTTCATCAGAGGCTGGTAAAAAATGATTTAATTTTTCAAAAACTACAGATGTTGCTGCAGCTGCTCAGACGATAAATTGCTGCGAGTTTTTTTTTTCTCACGGGTAACGACTCGAGCAATACAAGCTGGATCTTTTTATTGCTACCTACACTTTTAAAGATTCATTCCTTCCCGTGCTCGTACGTAAATACACATAATTTTGTGCTAACATCACAACAATTTTATCGACAGAGCGAGATGTATAACATGTATTTATTATGTATCTGTTGTATCTATATACCTATATGTATGGCCAGTTCAGCGCAATATGCTAGCGTATGCCTATACAACATGAGCCGAGGATTCGTCGACCGCACTTGTTCGCCTATCGCCTTTGTGTTAATGATAATAATAATAATAATAATAATATATACGGTAGTGATTGCAAGTTAATCGATGGATGCATTTTGCTGCTACTTAAGTGCTTGTTTTATTTAACATGAGCACTATGTTATGCACTATGTATATAGTTATATTTTAGTTGAAATTGCCTGTGTTATGATTATTTTGCAATTAACGAAATTAATAGGTATACACGGAGAGACGAATTAAAAAAAAAAAAAAAAAAAAAATGCACGTAATGTGTTAGGTCTGGATCCGGCTGGTCCGCTGTTCGAGTCGCAGGACCCACGGGCTCGCCTCGACGAAACGGACGCGCAGTTTGTCGACGTGATCCACAGCAACGGAGAGCAACTGATCCTTGGGGGACTCGGCTCCTGGCAACCCATGGGCGACGTCGACTTTTACCCGAACGGCGGTCGCATGCAAACGGGCTGTTCTAATCTCTTTGTTGGCGCCGTCACTGACATTATTTGGTGTAAGTTTATACACATATTAATTATAATGTTTAAGTCTCATCATTGTCATCATCGTTAAAAGGTGATGCATGGTACCGTCTCGAAATCCAAAGTCAATTAATCTTTTTTATAATTATTTATTCGTATCATTGTAGGAAAAGCCTTTTTATTTTTTCATGATACGCAGATAAAGTATAATTATAATTACATTTGTTGATCACAAGTGTGCAAATAATTTCTACCTGCCGATGTACTTATAGTTACAACTTTCCGTAAATTAAATCAATTTTCATACCATCTTACTTATAAGTACTTCTTTGTTCCGCAAAAGTATATTTATAATATATCCTACCGACGACAGTAGTCAATTGAATAAGTCCGCTCTTAAAATTAAAATATTATCTATAACAGTTGGGTATTTGTATATTTGTCCATTGACCAAAAAACCAAGACCGTACTTATATACCTTTTTTAAATTTAAAAATCGAGGTAACGACCGTCAATACCTGGTGGCGACACTTTCTCACTCGACTAATTTTCGCACGTCAACTTGTAAAACTTACTGGCCTGCAATAGTGGTGTTCACGTTCGCACATTGGCTCAAAGCTCATCGGTACGCGTGCGTTGCTGGACTTATTTCCTACACCTTGTACTTGTGAGCCGGCTCGATTAGAAAGTCGCTTTTAACTCGCGGGCGCTGCGAAGCAGAGACACCACGCGGGTCGTTGCCATGTAGGTATCGAGATGTTCGCCGTCGTTGGATATACGCTACGTTGCATATGCTAGACTTGGGGTATTTGTTGTTTCTCCACCCCCGAAGATGCTTTTTTCCCACAGAAATCCTAAAACTTCAATAGTAAACCGTGTCCACGGCCAAATATATTATACATACCCTATATATTGTATAAATAAGTTTTTTCAACCTCGATAACTTTATACGAGATTACACTCTACATGAGTGGACGAGCGCCATGTAAACTTTGACTACAACTTTGAGTAAAATACGGGATTATTGTGCGCGGTTTTAGAGTCTAACGTATAAGATATAGATAATATAATACAATTAGGGATAAAAAAATCAAATGACGTGTGTGTATTAAAATGTGTCTTGTTGGTCGGTCCGACGGCTGACCCGTGCAGCTGCAAACTCGGTGGAGGGCAGGTCGTTGTGCAATCACCGGCGGGCTTACAAGCTGTTCACGGACTCAATAAGCCCCAAGTGCCGATTTCCGGCCTTTCCGTGCGCGAGCGGCTACGACGGGCTACTGCGAGGCGAGTGCTTTCCCTGCGGTAGCCGAAACACCCAGCACCCGGAGCCCATGCCGTGCGCCGACATGGGCTTCTACAGCGACAGGTCGAGGGCCCGGGGCCAACTTTACCTGGTGACCCGTGACGAGGAGCCCTTCTGCGCCCACCAGTACCAGGTGCGGGTGTACAACAGCAGGAACGAGCGCCCGGTCAAGAGTTACGGCAGGCTCCAGGTGACCCTTGTTACGGAGGGCACGATCAACGAGACCTTCCTCATGACCAAGAAGGACGATGAGGAGCTCCTCGTCGGTGCCACCCTACAGAGGATCGTCGTGCCCCACCCCTCCCTAGCCACCATCGAGGCGATCGAGGTACATATTATACTTTTTATATATTTTTTTTATATACAATACATATATACATAATGTTACCTCCGTTCCGTGATTATTATATTATAATATATCAGGGTGTTGTTGTACACCTATATGTTGTCCGTTTAGATAAAGTACACGGCGTACAGCGGGTGGATATCGTCGGGTCTGGTCTCGTGGGCCGTGGACAAGGTATCGGTGACGGACAGCTACGGGGCCGTGCGCTCGATCTGCAAGCGGGGCCTCGTCCTCGAGTCGGGCAAACCGGTCTACCTGAGCCTACAGCCGAGCGACTGTAGCGTGCCTCCCGAGGAGCACTCGGACCAACAACCGAACCAAGACGGGGAACAACAACAAGGCATCGGCCCCTTCACCAGGGAGCACAACTACGAGCGCCCAACAGGTAACTCATACGTAATACACGTATACCTACCTATATACGCACTCGTATATTAATATATATATATATATCGTACTATAATTATTGTGTGGATGCACATCCTCTCGTAGTTACGGACAGTAGCAGCAGCTTCAGCAACGAGGTGCCGCAAAACGCGGCCAAGGGCTTGGGCCCGTTCACCAGGGAACAAAACGTCGTGACCACGATGACCGAGAAGGATTACCCGGTTAGTGTGTGTGCATCTTTTATATATATGTATATATGTATATATATAAAAGATGGGGGGGGGAGTCGATACTTTTGTCGCATAATATATGTATACGCTCGTGCTTTAACCAGCTATTAAGTAGGTATTATATGTGTGCCTCAGCAGCAGCCGAGCGTGTCGCCGTGGTCGCTGGGTGAGTTGACAAACGACGATAGCTCAAACTCGGTAGAGACGAGCAGCAGCGCGAACAACGCGGAGCGCGGCCGTAGCTTCTCCGGGCCGACAACAGCTGGAATTTTAAACCTCGACCAGCGGAGCAACGTCGTACCCGTGATAACCGTCCCGCCCGAGCTACCGCAGGAACAACAACGGCCGAGCGCCAAGCACGAGCACCTCCCACTTGTCCCGGAGGTGAGATTACCGGGTGCCAACGGCAGCAACAAAAAGGAGTCGGGACGCTCGCTCAGGCTACCCGAGATCACGGAGCCGGTGCTCAGGCCGAGGGGCACGCGCCAGGACTCGGTGGTTTTCCCGGCTACCGTGAGCGCAACCACCACGACGACGAGTACCGCGGCGCCGGCTGTCGCGACCACGACCATGACGAATCGGGGCTTCACGGTGCAGTTGCTGCCCGAGCGGCTGGCCGGTATACTGGCCCAGGTGGAGCGCTACGCCAGACAGACCCTCCTGCCGCTCATCTCCCAGTACACTCCAAGCTTCATCGGTCAAGCCGGCAAAACCGAGCGGCCCAAGTACTTCCCACCTCTGGGTTGGTTTTGCTTATTATGCTTATTGTGTTGAACCATGCATTGTGGTCTTTTCACGCGTGTTGCTTTCATCGTCCCCTCGACTCGTGCAGGTAGCTTGTTCGGGGGCCGGGACAGCGGGGACGAGCGCAGGTACCTGTACTTTGAGTTCAACGAGGAACCGACGACGACGGAAAAGCGAGACGAGCGCCTATTGGCCATCGACAGCAATAGGGACGACTCGTGGATGCCGCTGACAGTGGCCCGCGAGGAAAAGACGCTCGCAGGTATACGAGTGAAATTTTTTTTTTTTTTTTTTTTTTTTTTTTTTTTTTTTTTTTTTCCGATTCCTCATGTACGCGATATATTATATATAAACAATAACGTCTTATTGGCTGCAGGCGAGTGGATGAACGAGGGTGGCTCGAGTTGGTCGCCGCTAAACGACAGTAGTGACGCTAACGCCACGGAGACGAAAATTGACGACTGGGTGCCGCTGGTATCGGCCCCCGTCGACGACTCGAACGGCACCTCGGGGACGAACGAGGAGAGGGAGCGCAAGTTCATACCGCTAATCGACTTGGCTCGGGGGGGCAGCAAAGGGGTGGACCCACCGAAACTAGAGGACAAGACGGTCGATCGACCGCGCTCGATCGTCTTTCCTTACGTCTACGAGAGGAAGAACGACCCAAGGACGAGGTACATTCCCCTCGTGCCGGAGGAGGATCTTGGCGCGTTAGCCGTAGACGACGGGGTTATCGGGTAACGGTAGTCATAAGCGCGCCTATACCACCTAAATGTATCATAGAATACGTACGTGCACCTATTTTACTTACTGCGATTTATTGTATGCCTGTTTGCTACGGATTCTCGCGCCACTTGGGATACATATAATTGATTACGTGACTCATTACCACTGTAACGATATATAATCATCCGCGTACTTAAACATCCTTTTTTAGAAGGATAATATTATATACATATATAGACCATCGAAAGTGCGTAGGTACACGCGGGTAATAACAATAATACGTTGTATAGCGATCGTGCCGTTTTAATTTTATTTCCAAGTACCTAATATTAAGTTCTTACTTATTATTATTATTATTATTTTTTTATTTCATTTTTTCTTTTTTTTTTGTTTACTTTATTATTCCGATACCCAGTAATAATTACTTAATTCATTCCTCCGTGTTTTTGCTCGGTTTTGCATTTTTGTTAGTGATCTCAGCTTTCCTTCAACATTTACGATAAATCATACTTGTCAAGTTATTTATTTGAAGGTAATTAAGATTATTGAGCGATAATTGTCAACAAAACAAGTACATGTTTAGAGCTTATACTCACCCAAATATTCATTAAGGGAAATAATTTTTTTTTTTACACTTGTCAATTATGTCAAAAACCAATTATAAAATTATAAGCCCATTGTACACAACATGTATATATCAGTCGTAAGAATAATATAACTTTAGTCAAGATTAATAGATTTTTTTTTTATCATAAAAGTTTTATTGAACTTATATTTTTTCTTTTAATAAAAGATTTAACCGGTAAGTTGAATCTATCTATATATTATATAACATAGACATTCAACGAAATTTTGTGTATATGTATCCGTATATTTGTGTAATTACGAAAGTTAAATC